TAAAGCACCAGGTATGGCAGCTGCCACACCTTCATCACTTGCCAGTTCTGTAGAGAAGACGAATGGAGCCAAGCTCAGCAGACTTCTTATTGATGGCGGTACAGCGGTTTTGAGGAAATGCTTCAATACCTTTCACCCCCCTACCAAACTAGCTGCTGGTCTCAGCTCTCACTTCACAACACTGCACACTCTTTTCAAGAAAAAGGTTCTGCGTTTAGCCCAGTGGGACCAACTTTTCCCACCTAGTGGGGATCCACCTGATTCTAAAGAATTTGATATCACTCTCCTGTTTCTCCTTTTGACCAACATGTGTGGCCTCACCCCTCCCTCCTCAGGATGGCACGCGATGCCACCTATTAGTGACACCTCTTTCGAGGCTAACCTTGCTCGAATGAAGTTTTTCCGCAATAAGTTGTATGGCCACGTGTCCACCACTGGCGTTGAAATGTCAGTGTTTTTGTCTCTGTGGCGGGATATTAGCGCAGTCCTTGTTGATCTTGGGTTTGACCAGGTAGAAATAGATAGATTAGAAGTCGAACATAGTGGAGAGGAAGACTATATTGACTTGTTACGTGAGTGGTCTGAGAGTGAAGAAGATACGTGGTCACAGCTGAGGGATATACGGAATTTCCAGATACAGATGCATGAAGACGTTGCAGATCTACGTCAAAACCAAAAGGAAGACCAGAAAACACTTGAGGATACCAAGTCTAAATTGGAGAAATTGTCCCACTGCCAGGCAAAAACTCTTGAGGCTGTTGAAGAAATGCAAGTAGGTATCGAAGAATTTAAACAGGTAGCTGAGTACGAAAAGAAGAAGAGAGAAGATCATTGGGAAGTTGAGGCCCTTAAAAACCTAGCGAAGGTCGACTTCCGAGGGGATATTGAATATCATGCGCAAAGATTCCAGGAAGGAACCCGTGAGTGGATCTTCCGACAGATGGATGAATGGTTAGACGACAAAAGCTCCGAAAATCGAGTAATGGTCATCAGTGGCAATGCTGGCATGGGAAAGTCAGTTATCTCCGCTGTTGCGTGTAAGAGAATGCAAAAAGCTGGTCGACTGTCAGGGAGCCACTTCTGTCAGCACAACAACGTGCGCTATCGAAATCCGCAGCTGATGCTTCAATCCTTGGCCTGTCATTTGACGCACACCTTACCCGAGTACAAGGAAGCTCTCGTGGAAAAACTATCAAGGAATCTGGGAGTACCACTCAACAGCATGGGTGTCGAAGAGCTCTTTGCTCTGCTTTTGAAGGAACCTCTTAATGCTGTTAAAGATCCAGGAAGAAACATCTTAATGGTAATAGATGGCTTGGACGAAAGTGAATATCAAGGACGCAACGAGCTTCTCGATGTCGTTGGCAAGCATTTTTTTAAGCTCCCAAAATGGATTCGATTTCTCGTGACAGCCCGACCAGAAATAAACATTACGGAGAGCCTGAAGCATCTGCAACCCATACACCTTAACCAAAAACAGGAAGAGAACTTAAGCGACATCAAGCGTTTCTTTCAACTACGTCTGGGAAAGCAACTTGAGCAAGAACATAAGAATGTGCTCTTGGACAAACTGGTTCAAAGGACTGAGGGTATTTTCCTATTTGCATATTTTCTTAGTGCTGCACTCGAAGAGAATGCCTCGCCAATTACCGTCGAGGAGGTGGAGAGCAGATTGCCT